TTTTTAAACAAATTATGAGCTCTAAAACATTTTCAGAATTTTTACAACTTTTGCTTTAGACCATTTACAAATGTTAAATCTTAAAATAAAATGTTAAGGTTACTACTGCATCTTTCTGAAAAAAAAATGCAGTGGTTAATATATAGTTTATTTATAGTTATTTTCATATCTTCTATGTACTGTCATTATAAAAGAACTTTATTATTGTTTATTTAATTCTAACAAATAAGTTCTTGTTAAAAACGAACCAAAATTAAAAATAATTATATATCGGCATCAGCTATTGGCACAAAATGAGTTGAAAATTATCGGCATATCGGATATCGGCAAAAATCCAATATCGTGCATCCCTTTTTTCCCCCCACAAATCAGAATAGACCTGTGATCCATTTTAGGTTGTGATACACCATATATTTTATTAGTATTGACAGAAGCTGACAGGTAATTTGCCCACAATAAACTAGGCTACATACAGAAGCACTTGCAAAAACTAAAAAAAGTTTTAGATTTCATTTGAGCAAAGCTTTTATCCTTTATTAAAACATTTCATGAACGTTATTCTAGCATTTAGGCTCAGCCATTTCACTAAATTAATTAGTCAATTGTTATGCATAAGTGAAAGTATGTCTTATTTTTTAGATACACTAATTTAAATGCTTATACTCAAAGAACTGATACTGATGCACTACTCACATTTTGTTTTGGAAATGTAAAAATCTAGTTCAATATTTAGGTGAGACTGGGTGATGAGGGTGCTTAAAAACTGTCATGGATTTGGAGTTGGATATGTTTGACAGTGACTGTATGATTGTGTGTGTCATTGAGGGAGAATATATAACTGTATCCTGCAAAAAACATGCTTCATGCCTGATGAGAGAAATGCTGAATTTCTTTATCACTTAAAGGGTTAGTTCACCCAAAAATGAAATGTAGCCTGTGTTTTACTCACCCTGGAGGAATCCTAGAGAAAAGTGTTTATTACGTTTGAAATAGGGATATTTTTCTTACAAAAACGCATGGATTTGCTACAGGAGGCCTTTATTCACCCCCCGGAGCCGCGTGAGGCATGTTTTATTACGGATGCGCGCGCTTTATTTAAAGTCCCCATGAAATCAAAATTAAAGTTTTTTGGGTGTTAGTATCAATATGTTAGTCTTAAGGTTATCTATAAGGCAGTGTGCTCCAAAACAGTGACAAAATTCGCATTTAGAAGATATAAGCATTCAAAGCTTGCAGTTCGTCACTTCCACCAAAACGGCTCAACGATTTTTTTGACGTCACATCGTACTTCAGTTTCTCATCAAACTTTCTGTCCAATCAAATGCTCTCTAGAATCCGAAGCGCCTACACTATAAAATAGACGCTGAAGCCGCGGCTGAAATCGGTCACTTGTTCACAGAATTAGTATTTTCTGTACAGTGAATGGCACAATAATAACGCTTGGAATAGCCAGGACAATTTTCAATATAACTCCGATTGGATTTGTCTGAAAGAAGAAAGTCATATTCACCTAGGATGGCTTGAGGGTGAGTAAAACATGGGCTAATTTAAATTTTTGGTTGAACTAACCCTTTAAAGAGTTTACTGTATATATTGGTACAGGTACTGCATTTTGTACATTGGCATCACTTAATATTTTTTTCTGTGTTCAAATTGAAAATCGAATTGAAAACCATTTTCGCGTTTTGATGTTGTGTCTGATGAGAGATTCAGTATACCTGTGTTCTGCTCTCTCTGCCCAGAAATGATAAATGAAATTGCCTCAACCTTGAATTTTTTCCATCTCCAGAGCAACCGCTGCTTCCCGACAGAAATCCATGTGAAAAGTGATTCAAACACACAGCTGTCATGCGAGAAACACACACACACACACACGCATGCACAAAC